TGATAACAATAGAACGCAGCCTTTCAACTTCATGAAATGGTAAGGTAGAGTCAGAGCCAGATATAAAATTGCTATCACTGTGAGCAGGAGACAAGACCTTTCGAGAATCACATACTACAGTAACATCAGACTTCTTACGCAACTCCTTAATCTCATTTTTTAAATCCATATTTTCAGACCTCAGATGACTTAACTCCTTCATCATAGCGCAGATAACCTTCTTAACGGAATCAGTAATACGTTTTGATTTGCTAAATTCTTTAACTTTACTCTGCAGGTCGCTCCATGATGATACTTCCTGGTCATTTTCGCCTCCACTCTTGCGACTAACAGAGGAAGCCATTAGAACATCCATGTTGCGGTACCGGCGACGAAATAGCAAGAAAATAGCAATAGGTCAAATCACAGCAACTACGCAGCACAAAGGAAGAAACAATGTACCTTTTACGGTGGCAAAGTTTCTTTAATATAGGTACCCAGTTGCCACTCTGAGCAAAGCAGATCCTTAAGCAATTGGCAGGTCTTGATAAAAACTCGACCAAATTATCCCACTTCGAAGCGAGGTTGTCGTCAAACCACAAGGCAACAGACGTTAACCGTAAAAAATCAATGAAGACGAGTTAAGAGTTCGACCAAGGCGCGCTCTTGAAGAACGATGTTAGAACAAGTACTAGATATACCTGTACCGGTGGCAGATCCCTTCAAACAATTTTGCCCAGCTGCCACTCTGAACACCACTGCGACAAGTCAACCGGTAAACAGCAAGCAATATCAAGCAAAATCGCAGGTAGAAAAAAATGCAGTACAGATACCAGTAGAGAGCCGCCGCTCAGGTCACGCGAGGTTAATGAATGAATGGGTGCTGAAGGTAAATAAAAGGAATTCGGAGCTACAGCACTTGAGGGAACAGAAAGGGGAGGTGCAAGGGGTGGAAGGGGTGCAGATACATGAAATAGAGGTGGTAGAGTGTATCGTGATGGGCTAGCTAAATATAGGGATACGTAGAAATAAGGAGCAACAGGAGCAGCTAATACTGAGTTGAAGCCGGAGAAGGCGCTGCAGTCGAATTCGAAGTCAGACATCGTGCTCATGCGATGACATACAGAGGTGGTTTGTGATGCTTTCATCCACATGTTCAAATACCTTCGAGTGACTACTGGCGGTGTCGAAAAAAAGCGATACAAGGTGTCAGAAAAGTGTGAAAGGTCACTCTGTTAACCAGTTTGCCTGCAGGCGTCTTGTGAGAGTGAATGCTGAATGCTTACACAATGCGATAAATTCTTTTCCCTTTCTTATGATATTTCCAATGGTTATTTTAGCCTCCACGTCTTCTTTTGTTTTATTATTTATGCGTTTCATGTTTTTTGTTTTGCTTCATTTTATTTCTCATGCTATGCTAATGTAACGAAGTTTTTCACTCACACAATCGATATTGTTTGATTGCTAGTTGTCTGGCAGAGAGGTCACCAGCCATAAAATTAAGGGAGGTCATCCCCCAGGCGAGTGAGTGGATGGGCGAGGAAGGTGTGAAGTAATTACAATTGGACCCAAATTGACTCACCCCATGTCCATGGATGGTAGAATTTGAGCAGCCAGAATGTGCTGCTAGTTTTTGAGTGGTTTGGCGTGGATTCAATCCAATGACGGGCTTACACTCGGTTATCGACGACTTGAGGCCGACTTCCATGTTCTTCGTCTTCTAACCTCTTATTACCGTTTTTGAAACGCTGGAACCATCGCCGACACTGGCCTTCTGACAAGGCTTCCTCGCCAAATACCTCAGATGATGAGTTACAGCAGGCAATTTGCCTTGCTTGAAGTCATGCCACACGCAATCCGCAAAAAGAATTTGAGGTCACGCATGTCCTAAGCTTTCTTCTTCAAAGGAAACAAAGTAGACATAAGCAATATTATATATATATATATATATATATATATACATATATATATATATCATGAGTCTTCAATCGCGATAGATACATTCCCCACATGATGACAGTCTATTCAATCGCGATAGATCAACGACAGTACGACCCCTTTTCCGAATATATTTGCTGAGAAGTAGTACGCTGCGGAACTGCGGAATCCAGAGACACGAGAAAAATGACTGCTAATTAGTTTGTATGTTCTACTCCGATGAGAAGAGTCTAGAAAAAATGCCGTGCGCTACACGCGCGTGGCACGCGCTTCGACACTTTTCTGACTAAAGGGTGTTCAGCGTGAAAGAAATGCTGAGATCTCAGAGTATCGTGTATTCAACACCACGAGTGCTGAAGCCGCTGAGAAGAGTCAGATTGCCTCTCGTAGCCATTTTCCCTCTTTCATGATGATTAAGGCAAAAATCCCTACCATCAGAGATTGCGAATTTCAGTCCTGAAAAGTACAAAATTCGATCCGAAAACCTTTAAAAAGCGTTTCTGAAAGGATGCAGCTGAAGGTCAAAGATTTTTCTAGGGATACGATTTGAAAACTACGGTGCACTCGCTCACGAACGGGAAAGACCAAGACTGGTGCTGAGGAAACATTCGCGAATTTATCCCAGCTTAAAATCCTACTACGCATTCCCTGGACCACAACGTGGTGGGTCGCTGGATATAGTCAATACTGGAGAAGAAAGCCTATGCTTCAAAACGCACCACTGTTGCTGCGTCTCAGAAATCATTGAAAAAGGCTGGAGTTTCTAAAGAAACTCTCCGTTCCACCGTCGATGGGGAGCCGAGGCGCCTTCGAGCTATAATTTGTACAGGAGACTGTTATGTAAGATAGCCATGTGTTCGTTTCGTAGATGCCGAGGAGTCACCGAGCACTTGTTCAAGATGGTCGTAGTTGACGAATTGTGGTTTTTTTTGCTAGGAAAGCCTTGAGGGGCCGGAACAAATGGTAATCTGAGGAAGCAGCATCCGGTGAATTGGTGGATGTGGAACCGTGTCCCATCCTAGCTCGTCCAATTTGGCACGAATCTCTTTACTATGTGGGGACTAGCGTTATCATGAAGAAGATGCACAAAAGTTCGTCTAAATCGCTTTTCTCGAACGGCTTCCGCAAGTTTCTGAGGCTGACCAGCGTAACAAGGAGCGGTGACGATGTGGCGTTGCTAGAGCAGTTTGTAGTTCTGCATTCCTGTTGAATCCCAAAGCAACAAAGGAGAAACTTCGGCACTATTGCACTATTACACCCCCAGTGGGGGGGGGGGTGACATTGGTCAAAAAATTTTTTCGCTGAAAACTTGCACCAGGGGGGATCGAGGCCGCTGATCACGAATATGGTATCCATTTCTGGCGCTGCACCAAGTTGGCGCCAAATTGGGGCCAGTTGGTGCTAGGGGTGTTTTCTCCAAATTCGCTGTAAATTTGTATATAGGGGTTATTCGAGGTCCTGATCATATCTACAACAAACGGTATCCCTTTTTACGAACGTTTTCTTGCAAAAGCGGGTCGGCCCATTGTCCACTGACCTCTGCCCTCTTCACAGTTGGGAATCAAAGTCAAAATGAGCAACAGCACCAAAATGCCACCTACTCGCCCGTTGAACTACACAAGTCCTCGCTAAGTAATTACAAACATGTGTAACAGTTTATTCAGAATCGTCCTTGCTCTCTTGTTCTGACCAGCTCTGCGACTTCAAATGTGGTCCTAGAGAGGGCCGTTGGGTTAGCTCACAAAGGATGTCGAGCTCGTTCAACAGGGGTATAGTGCTGCTACCTGGTCCCAGAAGTTGTGCAGGGCCTCACGTCGATCTTCAAATTCTTTTTTCCACAAGAACTCCTGCATGCAGTCTTCATATCGAGCGTTGTTAATGCCGTAGCGTCGCTTTCCCACTTCCTTGTATTTCTGCCAGAGTGACTCAACATGCTGAGTATGTGTTCCAGTTCTGGGATCGACGAAGTCCAACTGATGGTTTACCTGGAGGTGTCTGTGTCCGAGGGGCAGGATGGAAATTTGAGAGTTCCAGCTGTCGCTGAAAATGGTGGTCCCAGGTCTTATGTACTTCGTGATGAGACGCAGGAGAGTGGGGGCATCCCTACTCCGAACAAGGGCGAGGAAAGCTCGACCGCTTCCCCTCTCGATGCCTCCGAAAAGCCATTGGTGTCTATGCACGAAGCGTCCTCGGTTGTATTTGCGCCGAGTAACCAGGGTTTCGTCGGTTTTCACTTCACATCCAATCCTGCGATGATTGGTGGGTTCCTTCTAAAGTGTTCTGCGCACACGTCACGGAAACATTTCTCCCACTGAACAACGGTACGAGGATTCATGTGAATCTCGTATGCTTTGTCCTTCACATTTCCCATGTCGTGGAGCCAGAAGTAGGACAGAGCAAACACAGTCGACTCGCCGAGGTTGGACTTGTCGAAGAATGAGCCTTTTCTAGCAGATGCGTAGACCTCCGTTTCGTTCGTCGGTCCAGTACTGCACGATCTTCGGTTACACACCCAGCCACTGTGGTGCTCGTCGTTCCTCGGTGTCATGGATACTTGGCACGATGGGCATAACGGTGTAGACATTAGCCCCATAGATCGCAGCCAATCTTGGAACTGCAGGTGAATCATCTGGAATTTTTCGAACACATCCTTCAATGAGAAATCCACCAACTCCTGCTGGCGATTGCGTTGTCTCAAAACGTTGAGAGCCATTGCTTCACTTTGGTAACGAAAGCGAGAAATAAATCTACGGCTACTCATGCCGATTCCTTTGCTGCCTGCAAGCGTGGGAAACGCCTGGGGTCATACCGTTTTCCCGAGACCTGGCTGTCTTCAAGCGTGGGAAAATGCTTCTGACCTCATTTCGAGGTCTGAAGCGCAGTCTCTAAGATGCCCTCAGGTAATTGGGCTCAACCTATCACCGAAGAGAGCTACCCGTCTCACAAAGAATGCCATATTCGTGATCAGCGGCCTCGATAACCCCCTGGTGCAAGTTTCACCAAAAAAATTTTTTGACCCATTTCACCCCCCCCCCCCCCCCCCCCCNCCCCCCCCCCCCCACACTGGGGGTGAATAGTGCAACAGTGCCAAAACTTCTTAGGTGGAAGCCGAATTCAGCTTGGGTCAGTGTCTGTTCTCCTCGCAGGAGCCAGACGGCGCGATGCCCATTAGCGGCGTACAGGATCAAGTGTTCATCTCCAGTAACTAGGCCCCCCATAAACCCCTTGCGATGTGAACATAGATGGAGAAACTGACAAACGGATACCAGGATGTACCCCATGCTCTCGGTCAAAACATGAAGTATCCATGGATTCAGCACTTTTCTGTAACCGAGGGCGTGGAGGCGACCGGTGACTGCTGATTGGGCACATTCAAGTCTCGTCGCAAGATTGCGAGTGTTATATTCCAGATCCTCTTTGACGGTGTCGAGAATGAAGGAGTCGTCGACGGCGAGGGGCGTCCAAAACGAGACTTGACTCGAAACCTGTGCCTCCTACCTTGAAGCGAGCGAACTAGCGATGGAAGAAGTGTGCTCCCCCATGCGCTGTTGATTTTGCGAACGGGAGGCGGTCGTTTGGCGCGATGGGCGGGGTCGCGCCGCACATTTAAGCCGATTCGCGGGGTGAACAACTCGTTCAGTTCCAGCAACCCTCTGTCTGTCCTCTCCAGCTGATAGAAGCGTGATGAATGCGCCGTTACTATTGCACGCCGAATTATGGACCTGCTTGTATACTGCCTACATACATAATCCATTTGACGCTTTTGTAAGTTTTCTATTGCTTCTCGTGCTTTATCTTCAAATACAAATATCCTTCAAAGAAGATCCATGGAGAAAGCGGATTGTGAAAGCTCAAGAAGCAATAAAAAATCACACAAAAGCGTCAAATGGATTATGTATGCAGGCAGAATACAAGCAGGTCCGCAATCTGGCGTCTAATAGTAGCGGCGTCATTGGTCGCGCTTCTATCAGCTGGAGAGGACAGGCAGAGGGTTGCTCGAACTGAACGAGTTGTTCACCCCGCGAACCGCCTTAAATGGGCGGCGCGACCCCGCCCATCGCGCCAAACGACATATACCCGTTGCGAACGGTTGCCGTCGCTCCGCTGCCGCGAAGCCACTCGAAGAAGATGATGTGTCGAACGTGGGCTTGTGGAATTGACATCGTGATTCAGGCGATTATGTGTAGTGTGTAGAATGCTTTACCACTACCACATGGTACAACATTGGTATTAATAATCGAAAGCTCAGGAGATTTCAAAAAAGCCTATCAACATTACGATCAAGCTAATGTATACTTGCGATCAGTTGTAATGCAACTAACAAGGGAAGTATACTTGGTCGCAGTGGCCATTCAAGATGAGATATATACCCTCGTAGGTGGTTTCGAACGCTGATCTCAAATCTGTGTTCCAAATCTGCTAAAAGATTCTGGGAACAAACTTACGGGACCGATGCTTCCCTGTGTTATAGTACACTAACGAACGGATTACCGAGCCGAGCAAAGGTCGTACCTGTGCAATGGTGGCCGAGCGGGTAGTGTAGTGGACTGATAGGCATGGCATCAAGGTTCGGTTCCTTGATGCATGCGCTCGTTTTGCATTTTCACAAAATATTGGGCTCAATATTGGGCATCTACGGAGCTCCC